CGGTTAGTCATTCTGTCAATTTAAACCGTTAACTCCATCATATGACATTTTTTATATTTTTTTGGTGACATGGCAAAAACAACATTAAAAAGTGCTGATTTGGAATTTTTTTTATGAGGTGTCAATGCCAACTCATAAACTAAATTTGTTTAGGATTTATATTTTTAATAAAAAATAAAAAAGTTCGACTCATCTTCTTCCTTTCTTTTTTTTTTTTTCCTTCTTTCTTCCTCTTCTTCCTCTGTTGCTTGGTCCTTTGAACCCAGCCATCTAGGTTGCTTGGTCCTTTGAACCCAGCCATCTAGGTTCAAGGGAACCTAGCAGATTTGGGTTCCACCGAACAGAGCAAACTAGGTTCCCTTGAACCCAGATGGTTGGGTTCAAGGGACCCAGCAACTGGGTTCGGTGAACCTAGCTCCACTTTTTTTTTCTTTTTGTTATATGTTTGTTTGAAGAGATTTTTATGTAAATTGCAAGTTGTGAGGGATTTTTGAGATCCTTTTTTTCATATTTCTTAATTATCGTCTAAATGATTTTAATGTTCAAAATGGAAAAAACATCGCCTAGCAATGAAAAGAACAGAAGCAGTGACTAATGGATAAAGAAGCAATTCTTAGTGGGTTTTCATTTGTTTGGCTAAAAGGGTGTTTGGATGCTGAGAAAATGTTTTCTATTTGAACATGGCAAAACGTTTTGTCCATGTCATTACTTTTTTAAATTTTGCGCTCTACATCATCAAAAAAAAATATAAAAAATGCAACATGTGCGGATATAATGGTCCAAATTAACAAAAGGACTAACGGTGTGCATTTGTTAGAGTTGAGGGATCAAAAAAGTGCAAAAAATTGTTAAGAGATCAAAAATGTGTATTTATTAAAGTTAAGGGATCAAATTTAACATTTAACCTTAAAAAAAGGAAAAACGAATTCAAATAGTTGGACCAATTTGAAAACAATGTGTACTTTGTAGGGCTGATATCTAAATTAACTATTAACGCTATTGAAACCTCTTGACAAATAACAAAAACCTCAGGGGCCCCTTAAAATATCAACTTCTTCATCTTCCCATATACTTTTCACTCACGAATCAGAGCCACGCATTTTGGCCCGTCCAAGAAAATATCCAAGGCAGATTCTTTCTTTAGGGTTTCGAAATTTCGCCTAGGTCCATCAAATCGCGCGTCCTGCGGTAAAATTACTCTCTCTTCCTAGCTTTTCTTACTGATGCTATCAATTTTTGTTAATCTTCCGTTTGGTTCCTAGGAAAGTACGGGAAAACGAGAGAAAATTGGTCTCTAAGATGCGGATTTAACCTATTATTTTTCTTGTTTTTTCGTTTTATTAGTCTCTGAGCTGAAATTTATGCTTAGATCTGTTGATTCTATGCTCCTGTGTTGTAGATCTGACTTTTATTTATTCGTGATGTTGATTGCGTAGGTCTGCTATTATTATTATTATTATTATTATTATTAATTTTTGGTCGACATGATTTCTTTTTGCGGGTATGAATAACAGAACTGGAATGTTGAATTCCATGGTTTTTTCTATTTGGAATTACGGTGTTCCTTAGCTGGGGGTAATGTTATTTTGAGTTTAATGTTGTTTTGGGGCATGGTTTTTGAAGGAAATTCAGCTTTGGGTGATGGGGTATTATCCTCT